AAGAGAGCTTTAATAAAGGATGTCCTAAGGAAAGAAAATCCAGACACTCTTCTAATCAAAGAATCTAAACTCATGACCTCAGTTGGGTAATGAGCGCTTCTTGGGGTTCCTCTGGAGGGTTAGTTACTTTGTGGAAGGATGAGGTTGTGGAGGGAGTCAAAGAATATATTGGAAGATTCTCAGTTTCTGTCAAATTCAAACAGGTGGAAGATGGGTTCGAATGGGTCTTAACTAATGTTTATGGCCCTAATGGCTACAGATAGAGGAATGAGTTGTGGGAAGAATTGGGAAATATTAGAGGACTGTGGTAAGGGCCCTGGTGCCTAGGAGGGGATTTCAATGTAATTAGGTTCAATAAGGAGTGTAATAAGGCGCCACAAAGAAATACTATTATGAAGAAGTTTAATGAGTTTATCAATGTCTTTGAACTGAAGGAACTGAATCTCTTATACAACAGTTTCACCTGGTCTAATCTCCAAGCTGAACCAATTTGTTCAAAATTAGACAGATTTCTAATTCACTACAGATAGGGAAGAGCATTGGGGAGACCTGGTGTCAAGCAGTGATTTAAAAGACGCGCCTGAAGCGCACCTACGCGCAAAGGCAAGGTGCGTTTTAGGGTAGGCACCTTGCCCAGGTCCTAGGCTTAGCTCTTTCAAAAGGCATACGCCTGGTGTGCTTAGGCATGCGCCTGATGCGCCTTGCGCCTCAGCCCAGGCGTGCGCCTTTTAAAAATTTCATGCTTTTTGCTTTTTTGAACCTAGTGGGGCTCCAAGGGCAGACCCTGGACCCCCATGCCACGCCCCACAAGGCAAGCCCAAACAAGTCCACGTTAGGGTCTTAAATTCTTATTTCTCACACAAAAAATAATGATTTTATAATTTTAATTGCTTTTTAAGAAGATATTTTATTACTTATCAAAAAAAAKAAGATATTTTATTAGGATGAATGAATGAACAACATTACCAAATAGGGGGTTCTGGAAGCTCCAATTCATTCAACATAATAAAATATCTTCTTAAAAAGCAATTAAAATTATAAAATCATTATTTTTTGTGTGAGAATTAAGAATTTAAGACCCTGACATGGACTTGTTTGGGCTTGCCTCGAGGTGTGTGGCACAAAGGCGGCTCATAGAATTAGTATGTTTTACATCACATTAGCTACTTGTAGTAATGCAATTGAGAAAAAAAGTGTTTGTCGGTTTAACATGCTTGAAAATGTTTTATATGTTTAAATTTATTTTAAAATTCTCATTTGAATATGCTTTACATGTTATGTTTATGTTTTTTAATTTTAGATAATAGGTTTTTAAAACATTTATTTTAAAATTTAAGTTTATATTTTTTATTAATATTATGTTTAATGTTTTTTTGAATTTTTTGGCATTTTTTATTTTTTAGCTTTTTTTTGTGCCTTGCTTCAAAAAGACGCATGCCTTGCCTTGCGCCTTGCGTCTCAAGCACAAATTGACCCCTATGCCTTGCGCTTTTAAAACATTGGTGTCAAGGGCATTACTGAGAGTTACCTCTAATCATTGGCCAATATTAATAAGTTTGAGTCAGGAAACAATGGACCTTCCCTTTTAGATTTGAGAATATGTGGGCTTTAAGGAGAAAGTAAGGAGTGGTGGAATGAAAATAATCTGAGGGTAAATTGGGGAAGGCATGAAATTCCATTGGAAGTTAAAAGAGTTAAGTTAAAATCAAGGAATGGAATGTTCTTCACTTTGGGAGGTTAGAAGAAAGGAAGCAACAGATGATTAACCAGATTAAGGAATGAGGAATTAGATGCAAAGGAAGAGCTAGATTATTTTGGGGAAAGGGACAAAGAGTTGGCATGGAAGCTTAGGAAAAATTTGGAGGACATACTTTTTAAAGAAGAAATTATTTGGAGGCAAAGTCAAGACATAAATGGGTGAAGGAAGGAGATAAGAACACAAATGTTTCCATGTTATAGCCAATGGCAGGAGGAAGAAGAATTCCATTACCAAGTTGGTGGTTGATGGTACAACTTTAACCTAGCAGAATGAGATTGCAGAGGCTTTTGTGGACCATTTCAAATCTATTTTCAGAAGACCCCTAAATAACAGGTTACGGATTGAAGGTTTGGATTGACAGGTTGCAGAGGCTTTTGTTGGTTATGGGCCTTAGTTATGGGCTTTTTTGTTTTCTTTAATTATTTTTTAGTGTTGGACGCCTCATTAAGGGCATCCAGGTAATTGTACTTAATTTTAGAATTAAGTTAATAAAAGAGATCAAGAAGGCTAGAGAGAGAGGTTTGAATTCTGCTTTCTCTCTTCCCTTCTCTTCTTCCACAACCTACTGTTGAAAACTCTTTCTTCTTCTTTCTCTTCCTTTCTTTATTTCTTTTCCTATATTTTCCGAATTACTGCAGGTGTCTCAACTGCTTCCTTAAGAGTTGAATGTGTAATTGGAAAGAGAGTTCGAGTTGGAAGAAATAAGGGATGCTATCTTTTCTATGGATAGAGCTAAAGCCTCAAGTCCTGATGGTTTTATGATGGCTTTTTATCAAGACTGCTAGGAGATAATTAAGGCTGATATCCAAAGTGTGTTCTCTGAATTCTTTGAAAGAGGGGTGATTAATCAATGTTAGAACTCTACTTTCCTTGCCTTAATCCCAAAAAAGGAGGAAGCTTGTCACCCTAAAGAGTTTAGACCCATCAGTTGGTTAATAGCCTTTATGAGATCATGCCAATGTCTTATCTCGAAGAATTAGAGAGGTTCTTCCCACAATCATTTCCCCCAATCAAGGTGCTTTTTCTGAAGAATAGACAAATTGTGGATCAAATCTTAATAGCAAATGAGAGTGTGGAAGATTTAAAAATGAGTGGGAAGAAAGGGTCGGCATGCAAATTGGATCTAGAAAAGGCATATGATTCGGTAGATTGGTCACTTTTGTTGGAAATCCTAGAGTCCTTTGGTTTTGGACAGAGGTGGTGTAACCAGATGAAAGGGTGTATTAGGGCATGCCACTATTCCATATTGGTGAATGGTAAGGTGGTAGACCACTTCCCGGCTACTAGAGGTATCAAGCAAGGGGACCCCCTTTCCCCCTTCCTTTTTACCCTGATTGCTGAAGTCTTAGGGAGAAGTGTAAGAAAGGGCTAAAATTTTGTGTTGTGAGATTGCTCAGTGGCCATTAAAATATTTGGGGCTTAGGGGATAATCCTAGAAAAAAGGAGCTTTTGGAATCTGGTGATTGGAAGATTCACAAAAAGGCTAGCCTCTTGGAAGAAAAACTACCTCTCTTTGGATGGCAGGATAACTTTGATTAACTCAACCTTGGCTAATCCCCCTGTTTACTTTCTATCTGTGTTTAAAATTCCTAAGAGAGTGTGTAAGGTCTTGGAAAAACTAATGAGGGATTTCCTGTGGGAACCAGGAGAGGAGAAAAGGGATCATAGAGTTAGGTGGGATATAGTTACCAAAGCTAAAAGTGACGGTGGGCTTGGATTGGGTAACTTACAGAAGAAGAATGAAGCTTTACTAGGGAAATGGTTATGGAGACTAACAAAAGAAAGGGATAAACTGTGGGCTCAAGTAATCTTAAGTGTTCATGGGCAAGAGATAGATGGCCGAGATACGGGAGTCTCATCTAGGGCAACAAGAGCTTCTCCTAGGAAGTTAATCCATGACATTCTTCCTTCTTTCCTTCCTCTCATCAGGTATGACCTTTGCTCTGGTAAAACTGTGAAAGTTTGGGAACATATTTGGCTGGGAGACACACCGCTGAAACAGCAATTCCCCTCCTTGTTTTCCCTCTCGATGTTTAAAAATGAGCCAATAGCCACCTTCCTAACCTCTTCCAATTTCGCTCTTGATTGAAATTTGGGTTTTAGAAGGGCTCTTAGAGATTCTGAATTGAACTCCATTGCTGATTTGCTTAAGATCTTGGATGAGGTGGTTATTCATCCCTCTAGAAGGGATAGTAGGATCTTGGATGAGGTGGTTAACCCAATCCCTTCCGGCTCTTGGATACCCTTTCCCAATCTTGGAAGTTTGGGGTAGACCAATTCCTCCCAGAGTAGGTGCTTTCTGCTTGGAAGTTATCCTAGAAAAGTGTAACACTTGTGACTTACTTCAAAGGAAAAGGCCTAATTGGTGTTTATCCCTGCACTGGTGCATCCTATGTAAGGAGAATGGTGAGAGCTGCTATCACTTACTGGTATCCTGCCCTTTTGTATCAGAAATCTGGTGTTGGTTTTTCTCTCTCTTTGGTTGCAGGTGGTCCTCCCTTCCAAATGTGCAGAGCTTGTTTAACTCTACTTCAGTAAGGGAACTAAAAAGGAGAGGTAAAATCTTGTGGAGATGTGTAAGAGCAGCTACATGCTGGACAGTGTGGCTTGGTCAGCTCCCTTGAATACTTCTCCTATTCCAGTTTGGACTCCTCTAACTATGGGGTTCACTAAATTAAAATTTGATGGCAGCAGCGAAGGGATTAAAAGAGCCCAGCAGCTGAATATCAGAAAACTGTAGGTGGAAGGTGAGTCTAGGCTGGCTAGTAGTTGGCTGCAGAAGGAAGATTTCAGTCTGTGGAAGTTTTTAAATGAGAAACAAAATTAATCAGCTGACTCAAAACATTGAAATTCAGTTTCAGTGGACTAAGAGGAGTGCCAATTCTTTGGCATACTCTTTGGCCAAACAAGGGGTTGGAAGAGATAATCCTTTTTGGGCAATGTTGTTATCTGATTTCTACTTTTAGGGAGGGTTAAGAGATTTTACCCCTCCCTGTTGTATCTTACTTTTTTTTCTTTTATTCTTAATAAAAGTTTCTGTTACTGATCAAAAAAAAGATAAATCTGTATCTCACAAGAATTTCCTTATCAAAAGGAAAAAAAAATGTATGGAAACAGCAACTTTTATCTCAAGAAAGATATCAAACTAGTCAATTTACATCAGTCAAAAAAAAGGAAAATAGCATATTAAAACATTCAATGTAGATCCACCAAATAAAAATATGAAAGTGYCAGAGCTAACCTGAAGAAGCTCAAGAGACAATAGCCTTGTCTTGGTGGTAACTTCATCATTTTCTTCCTTCATACCCATCTGTAAAAATTGTGTTTAAGAAATAAAAACCATAAAATAAAGATTACAGCATGAGCAGATTGTTACAAACCCCAACCTTGCATAGAGTCCTAAATAGCAATAAAGCATCACGCTGTCCTATACTCATACTCTCCAGGTCAATCCCTCTGAAAATCACACAAAACTCATGGATCTAAGTAACAATTATAGCAATTGCACCCAAAACAAGAAAAATGTGAAGCCAAAACATCAGGCTCAATACCATACCTTGTAATCTTTTTCCCATCTTCAAGATGCACAGCCTTGTCAAGAACAGCCTCTAAACCCTAAAAAGGAATTATCACCATCTCAATAACCACTAGAAGCCACAAGAAAAACTAGCAAACTAAGAAATGCAAAGGCAAATGCTGCCTTCCCCATGTGGAAAAATCTGACAAAAAAGGTACCTTGATATCAGCACCACCTGCCAAATTTTGTAGTTCCTCAACAGATGCAAGAGCCGTATCCTTATCCCGGTTCATTGAAAGAGCATCGCCTAGAGTGATTCCTTTCTCATTTTGGACATCCAAAGAAAGTTCCCCATCCTTCAAATTTAAATCTTGTCCTAAATTGGCTTCTGTATGTGCAGGACTACTAGAAGAAGGAATAGAATCCCGAGTGCCATGTGAAATATTGTTGGCATTCTGAAAGGAAGTGRCTTAATAAGAAATAATTATCTATGCATAACAACAACAAACCTAAGTGCCTGGCAATTGACATGGGATGCAAACCTGATCAGATTCCATTCGCCTGAATATAATGCTGATCATTTGTGTCAACATAGCCTTTGATGTTGCCTGATTGATAGGACTTTTGCTAAACATTGCAATCATAAAAATATAAGTAATAGCTTTTTGATAGATAAAATATAAGTAATAGTTCTGGCCCTGCATCAGATTTTCCATGGAAAAGAAAACAACAAATACCTGTTAAGGGCAATGTTGTAGCAAATTCTGATAACTCCTAGCAAAGGTTCCCCATGCACTGCATTACGACAAAGAATCTAACCGGTTATCTATAGCACATGACAGTGCCCTCAAACACCAAGACAAATGCACGTGCAAAAGATAATGAATATTATGTATGTAAAATTGTGTAGAACAATTAAAAGAAAAGCCCTGCAACATGATGTCTATGGTAATATTTCTTTAAGATCAATAAAGAAAAAAAAATTATTCAAATAATCCAAAAGGTACATAGTTTTGGTGACAAGAAGTCACCCCAATTCTTATACATCTGTAGAGAACACTGATGTGGGCCCCACGGCTGTGGCCCCCACAGTGTTCGTATGACAGCATGTGTAACCTTTGTTAGTCATGTCAGTGTTAGTTGGTAGTTATCTTAGATAGCTTGTTATTTCAGTTTGTTATTTATTTCAGTCTTTTATTTGTTTTATTTGCCATGTAAGTATTAAGGGCAGTTCTATCATTTCCTACATTTAGTGAACATAACCTATAAATATTAAGAGAGTGGCGGCGGCAGACTAATTCAATATGTCCCTCCTTTCAAAACCCTTGTGCACTTCTGCTTCTTCTCCTTTCTTCTTCCTCTTCCTTCTATTTTTCTCAATCCGAAATCAGTTGGGATTCAAGACTGATTGTAGTCTTGATCGACTACTTGGTATCAGAGCCTATCTAGGGTTTCTCATGTGAGTCTAGTCCAGCCGACCACATGAGAACTATCTAAGGCTGAAAGCTTACAAAGGACTGTTCGTTGGCTGATTCTTGGAGGTTACCAGAAAAGTTTAGCAGCTGTTCGAAGACTTGTTGCGGCTTACAGTGTTTTGGTAATCAGGAAGAATCAGTGGAGGTTAGGGTTCAGGCCACGATTGAAGGTAGCGATCAGAATTCTCTGGGTAAGTCTTTATTTTTCCCTTGAGATTGCTATCAGTCAAGATAGGTTGGACCTATCTAGGAGGAGCAGCCGAACCCTCCTATTTTCTCTCAGAGGTGATCAGTTTTTTTAGGGTTTGTCATTAACCCTACGGCTAGACTTGACTGTGAATTCTCTTGGAAAGTGCGGCTGAGCACTGTTTATGTT